GCGCCACATCACAGAAGACGGCATTCTTCATATTCACCGTCGTGAAAACCTCAAATCTTACAAAATTAGTGACGGTCTATACAAATTAAGGTAGTAGCACGAAATAAGATCCGACATTTAATAATGCTTAGCCAGATAACGGCAGCACTGGTCAGGCCCCTTATTAAGCATATGTTAACAGTCAGCGTCACAGCGAAGTGGCCAGCACTGAGAGGAATATGAATCGCGAAACCTGCTTTGGTATGGCAGTGCCATAGTTCAGGCAATCAGTCGCCGGCTTCCTACCGCGGCGGCCTGGGTTCGAGCCCATGTCACATCATATGGGATTTGTGGCAGACAAAGTGACACTGGGGCTGATTTCCTCTGAGTGCTTCGGTTTCACCTGGCAATTCTCATTCCACCTACTCTTCATCTATCATCCGGGGCTGGTACAATAGGCCAGTTAGTGGCCGACGTACCAAGTGGAATGAGTCTCATCCCATCCCAAGAAACTAAAAGAAATCTAATGTCTGACAGGAGCCACAGCACCCAACTATCCGATCCACACACAAAGGTTTACTTACGAGATTTCCGTCCTCTGGGATATAACGCCGTGGAGCCATGACCCAGAAGCCAGAACGCTCCATTAGTCATCGCTGCGAGAACTTCGAATCCAACAAAAATTTACTTCAATTAAAACCTCGTGGTCACGAGGTAACCTGAGGGAAACTGTGGCAGCCCATCTGTCGGGCAACATGGCTGCCTGATGAGTCACGGAGCGCTACTACTCGACCTACCAACACCACTACAGATGTCAGGGCCTGCACATAACCTGAGAAAAACATAGGCAGCTCTTCGGATGGGCACACGGAGCTGCCTCATGAGTAGGGACCGGATTTTAATGCAAATGCATATTTATTTCTTGCAACCAGAAAGTATGCTCGTTTGGATATATGTACTCGTACGTATGAATTACTTCATTTCTTAAATTTTGGACATGGTTTGATGGTGCATATAAATGTATATTTTGCATGTTTTATGAATAAGCAACATATTTGCGAAGGTCTCTATTTATACTGCATATTTCCTTTTTAAAATGTTTATCATATGTATTTTTTAAGTTTATGTTTAAATTTTCAATCATGGTCGTGTGTATACAATTTTTTTTTCCGTATCAGAATATGTTGCATATTTGTCTCAACATTTCGTCATGATTCATATTTCTGATGCAATACCCTGGACGGGACTTCCCCGATCCCTCTACTCGTAACTTGCATCATCCGCGTACCATCAAAGTGGCCGCGAAGAGATTAGTCAGAAGCGTTCACATGTAGCCGCTATCAATGTAATACTATTCAACCGATAAGGGACTTCACTTATTTATTTCCGAAGTCTCCATGAGGTTCGTTACTCTTCTTCATTTCAAGCTGGGGCCATTCATATTAGTGGTGACTAGTGTGTAGTTACGTTTGTTTAGCGTTCTGCAGTCATGCCGAAAGTGAAAGTAAGTCAGAAAACTAAATTACAGATGTATCAGCGGNGTTCTCATTTGATTTATGCGAAGCCTTTTTAGCGGCAGATATTCCGCTGTGGAAACTAACCAATCCTAGTCTGAGAAACTTCACAGAGAAGTATACACAGTGCAAAGTGCCGGATGATTCTACTGTGCGCAAAAATTACGTGAAGCAGAGTTACGGTCTTACAATTGAAAGCATCAGAGATAGGATTCAAGATAATTTTGTGTGCGTATCAATCGACGAAACATAAGACTGTGAGGGACGGTTTATTGCAAATTGTATAGTTGGATCCCTTAATAAGAATGGACAATCTAACCCATAACTTCTTGTGGTAGAGCAATTTGAAACCACAAATAGCTCCGCAGTTTCCGAATTTTTTATCAATTCCATGAATTTACTATGCCCGAATGGCATTCAGTATGAGCGCGTATGGCTCTTTGTGGCTGATGCCGCAAGTTATTTGATGAAGGCCGGTACTGCTCTTGAAGTTATATTTCCAAATACAACACATTTGACTTGCCTTGCCCATGGGTTGCACCGTGTTGCAGAAACAATTCGTGCAAATTTTCCGCTTGTTGACAATTTGTTGTCCTCTATGAATAAGGTATGTGTTGAAGGGCCATACAGAAAAGCCTTTGAAGCAGTAGCACCGAGCGTTCCACTTCCGCCAGAATCAATTTTAAAGCGCTGGGGCACGTGGCTGTGTGCAGCGAGTTATTATACCGAACATTTAGAAACAGTTAGGAATGTCGTGAATACATTTGGTCCCAAAAGTGCAGCATCAATTCAAATTGCCCAAGATGTACTAAAAAACGCCAGAGAATGGACGTCAACACGACAATGGTACAACGAACCAAGGATTATGAAGAACCTTTTGGAGAATCAATAAATTACTGCTATTCTGATCACTATCGAGCGCTCGTTGTGGATGAGTTCACTGCTGCCAATGTGCAACACCCACTAAGAGGAAATTTTTATTTATCTTTCCCATGTTTGCGGACGGCAGCTTGTTTTCAGACACCCGATCACTGAATCAGAAGCTGAGCTTTCAGCTTTTAAGCATGTAATTCTACGTTATGATACAATAGTGCACAAAAATGAACAGAATTTTGAGAAGAAATTTTGGTCCTGTGGGGAAAGGAGTAACATGAGGCCGGAGAAAACTGAATATTGAAGAGTTTCATAACAAGTGTTCTTCACCAAATATTTATGAGGTAAAATATATGAAATGAGTGGGACATGTAGCAGGCATGGGAGATGAGAGATGCGTACATGATTTTAGTAGAAATATTAAAAGAGAAAGATCGCTTAGGAGACCTTGGTGAAAATGGAATTGTAATATTAGAATGGGTCTTATGAAGCAGGCCAGAAAGATGGAGATTGGATGCGTCTGGTTCAGGGCAGGGACTAGCTGCACATCTTGCGAAGGTTGTACAATACCTTAATGAATCTTCGTGTTCCACGACAGATGGAAATTGTTTTGAGCAGTTCGGAGACTACCGGCTTCTTTAGGACCTTGAACCATGGAGATATTTCGACAAATACAGAGTAGATGAAAAAAATGTTTCAGGCCTGAATTGTAGAAAAGTCACGGCCCGCAAGCCGTACGCATTCCATGAATGTTCTTTTCGTGAATCTGTTTAAAAAATCCGTGTCCTGTAGTCCGCAAGCGAATTATACCGACCGAGTGAGAGCAGCTTGTCGGCGAAGTTAGTGCCAACTTTTGCGGATGGGTGTCGAGTGGTCAGCGCAACGGATCCCCACGGCCGTTAATCTCGGTTTTCTAGACCGGAGCCGCTATTTCCTTGAAATAGCGCCTCAGTTATCCTCACGAGGCTGAGTGGACCCCGTTCCAGACCCATTACTCCTCAGAAAATCTCTGGATCTGTAGCCAGGAACTCTGACCACTAGATGACAGAGGCGGTCAAAAGGTTTAAAGCAATTTCTTGTGTTATATTGTATGTAAATCTTTTTAATTTATAATTAGTCCTTCTGTCCGTAGTCTTTTGCTACATCAATGTCTGTGCCACTGGGTTCACAATATCGCTTTGTGGAGAGAGAATCCGGGTTCGAAATTTTTCCAAATAATTTGCACGCCTGACCATAAACAGAGTAGACGGAGTTGAATCACAGTTTGCAAGAAGGTCATCAATATTTGTATGCAACTGCTTCTTTTAATGAAGCTTATCAAAGTAAAATAAGATATACATTACCTTATATTTCATGAGACAACAACATAAACCTAGCACCATAGTCAAGAAAGCTGCAGCAACTAGGGCCTGTATCAAAGATTTCTAACATAGTAATAGTTTTAAATTTTACAAAAAANTATTTTACGTGTTGTTTTACTACAGGCAGCGATCCTATCAGAACATATCAAATCAGAACAGACTAGCAGATATACTAACACAGATAAAGTTGTCCCTGTGCTTAACTAATTAAGCACTGCGCCATGAAGGCGTATGGGGAAGTGAATGTATAGATATACTAATTACGAGTTATAAAGTGAATTAGAAGCTGGTCCAACAATTTCATCATTAATTTTATTTCGCGAAGAGTACAAATTATGAAGCTCAACATGCAATTTTCTCCGGCCTCTTCACGATTCGTCCCTCACAGACCCAAATATTCACATCAAGGCCCTGTTCCCAAACACCCTCAATCCACCCACGTTGTTCCCTTAATGTTACCAAATTTCACACGCATACAAAACAACATATGTGCCCTTCGCCTTGCACACTGTGCACATCTAGCTGTTCCGAATACAAATGATGACATGTTTATTACCTTTGTCGTTATTTTAGGAGTATTATGGAACTGGTCCACTGGAACTGCCTTCTCCAAGTCAGCAAGCCAACCCCAGACTACAGATAAGTGTGGAGCACCGGTTAAATAAAAATTGGCAGGAGAAAACTGAAGTGTTCTGAGAAAAGTCTCTCCTAGTGTCATTTTTACATCACACGTCTCACGTGAACTGGCTTGGAAATAAACTTGGGCTTCTGTGGTGACAAGCCGGCTACTAAATGTGGTACGGCCTTAACAACATTAAGCACAACTTTGATTACTATGGTTACTACTGTTTCCTGGAAATGGAAGTGGTATTATGCTATTTCAAATGGCATAACTTTCGTATCAAATCTATTAAAACATGACCAGCATTCTAGAGTTCAACCACGAAAAATAAAAAAAAAAAATAAAAAATTATGTTATGAAATGAAGGAACGTGAACTGTCAGACTGGTTACAGTTGAAATAGTGTCTCCAGACTGAGGTACATGTATGCTCGGCATAAGGCGGCGGAAGCGACGAAGACACACTAAGTTTCGAACCCAGACCTCACATAACCGACAGCCACGCTACCTATCCATTGTTCATGTTATGCGAAATGTGAGACTTCAAATTAAAGAGGGAAGCTTACAATACATTTACTAAACTTCGTTTGCAAAAGCAAAGCAACAGACACATCAATTCCGACCGGCGAGATCAGATAGAACAAAGCTCTTACCTGCAAGTCCTATTAGGATCACAGCGAATAGCATTGTAAACAATCTCACGAGTCCATCTCCGCCACAAACCGACCGCACTCGCTTGCACAGCCACGCGAACTGACATTCGGCTAGCTTCGGCGATCGCAGCGCCACATCTCGACCGCAGTGCTAAGTAATTTCAGAGGGTGTGTTCATTCACCTCATGGAGTGGGGTAAGTTAAAACACGGCCAGTTTTAACAATGGTGAGAACATTGAGATATAAAAAAAAATCAAATTAAAACCCACTTTTAGCATGACGCTTTACCATTATAGCAGGACAATAAAAAATTAAACAATCTCCACCAAACACAGCTGAGGCCACACGGAGTCACACATATGAAACGAAAGAGAAGCAGAAAGACGGAAGAAAAGGATTTTCTAGACAATCGGCTCACAGATGGCGGTGAGCTCATCAGCCTCACGTGCCAGCCGCCCTTCACCCCAAGGAAGATTCCTGATGCTCATTTTTGTTAGGGGTTGAGTCGACCCCAAGGTCATAGTGCAGCTGGAAGGCTTAGATCAATTGCAAAAATCCAATGAATTCATCGCAAATCGTGGCATAGTGCCTCGACCAATTACGCTACCGCGTGCCACTTCACGTGACTGAGCGATTGTAAAAGGGGGTTTAGTATGGAAATCGGATTTATTGAACTCTTAAACAACTCGTGATTACACTTTACAACTCACTATCACACACAGACCGGTGTTCTCAGTCACAGTACTCACTGTGCTGCTTGGTAGCGGCTTCCAATGGTGTCGAGTTCTGGGCTTCCGTGTCCAGCGGCTCCTGTCCCCGCTAGCTGGCACCTTTCTGCTACAGCTCCCGAGCTGAACTAACTGGCTTCCAACTGCCGAACTAACTCACTAAGTCAATCGACTGCATCGTCATGGACCTCATAACAAAACACCTCTCCCAACAGTTCTTCTATTGTTGCATGTAGTGTCTCAAATTTGAGATTGGAAATTTAAGCCCTTGCCTAAATGCTCGAGACTTGCGAAAAGTGTTTTACAACCATTACATTAGTAGGACAACACCTGGACAGGCAACTAGGTTAAGAATGTTGATGATCAGCATGTGTGCGTAATCACATAAGTAAGAAGCTCGCTAACGGGGCCACTGGAGTATCGTAATATTACCGCATAAACAGCGATGAGACGCCGTGGGCCCGCCCACATCCCCAGGGAATAACCAATTAGAATATAACTTTGGGAATTGAGAACAAAAGGGAGGAGTTAACTACCCTCTGTCGTCAACAGCTGAATTAGCAAATTGAAACTATAAAATACTGAATTTCGGGAGACTTGGGATCTGATCTTAAACAGAATATTGAGTTGTCAGCCGGAGGCCCTAGTCGATATGTGTGCCA